TGAAGAAAGAATTAGATTTCTGGACCAAAAGCACTACCATGGGTGCACGGGACTGGTGTGACCGTCTCCGCCAGGCTGAGCAGAAATTCCGTGAAGCAGCTGAAAAGAACGCGCGGCTTGAAGAGGCCCTGCGTGATTTAAACAGCAAGTTGGACCAGCTTGCGCTTATGACAAACTGCGCTCGCGCAGTTTGTTTTGAGGCGAAAGCAGCCAGCGCCAGTGCCTGAGGCAAACCTGGCAGCTGCCATATGACGGGGTCTCACTGGCGCTGTCCAGCTGTATCTCTTTTCCATTGGCGTGGGGCAATGCCGGAAAAAAAGAGAGCAGCTGCGCGTGCACGGCCTTTTGCTTCTTGCTTATCGGCTGCTAAGGTGGCCAACGATTGTAACCAGTAGGCTGCCAAGTTGCATGTTTCTGCCCAAGCGGATCCCGCCCCTTCCCTCTTGACTTTCTTCTTTGGGGTCCTTTTGGCCATGCAGCAACGCAAGTCAAGTTCAAGCCACCTCGGAGTAAGAGCGCATCCCAAAATTCTTCCCCCCCCCCTCCCTCCCCAAGATTTTCGGCAAAAAAAACACTTCCGAAAAACGGATTGTTTTGACAAAGAACGCGCACGCGAAAAAACAAGGTTTTCGGTCCAAAAAAAGCACACAAAAAAAAGGCATAAAAAGCATGTCCTTAATGACCGGCCAGACCATCCTCCTCCCCAGCAAGAGCGTAGGGATCTCCGACTTCCTTTTCTTCTTCTTCTGCTTCACCATCATCTCGTCCAATACCTATGATTTCCTTGAGCGTCTTCATGCGCTCCAAGATGTCCTCGGACACTGGTCGATGGCGATTACTCCTCGCAATTCGATCTCCAACCAAGTAAGGAATATCGTCCTTGACGTGCAGATGGACAATCTCTTTCTCAGGTGTTATCATGAACGGCAACTTTCCACAAATCCAGTGAAAAGAATAACCCATTTTCATGCATCGTCGACCAATAGATAGTACCGTCGGCGTCTCATCCAGGACAAAGGGTTGGACTGTTTCCTTCAGCTCATTGACGTAGTACTTGATGGAATCCGAAGTGGGTGTAGTACCATTTGCCGTTTGGAAAACAATCTCGTCCTTGTCTTGGACAATATCCACACCGAGGGAGGCCGCCTTGGATTTGCCGATCAAATCATGACCACATCCTGTGTCCATCAGCCATTTCACTCCCTTGCATTGGTTTGCAGACAGGGCGAATAGACTGATCGGTTGTCCGTGCTTCTTTTTTCATCGCACGACTCCCTCTGTGATCTCGTCATCCTCCTTGTCATACTCGAATGTGAAGGTTCGTTCCTTGTTCATTGGCATTTTGTGAGTTCGATATACATCGTTGACCACTTCGCTCATAATCTCGGCTCTGATGAGTGCCTTCTTGTGACTATATGCAAGGTATCGTCGATGATCATACGTCTTAAACGTCTTGGCATTGACCGGTTTCGATGATGATTGTTGTACATCGTCAGAGAATCCCTTGTGCCACATCGAAGAAGTCCGCCATTGTTCATCTTCATTCTTCAGGTACTCCACCTCTTCGCTCACGTCATTGTCAAGAATCTCTTGGAACCATACGTACTTCTCGGGTATGTCGGTTTCACCTGACCACCGCGAAGATTCACTCATGGCGTCTTCTGCATCACGATCGTGATACACGGTCTCGACTTCGGCTTCGCTCTCCTCTGCGCCTTTGTCAGCCTTCTTGGCTTCCGAAGTCGCGGCTCTCTTGACAGTGATAGCGGGCATAGCGATGTGAACCTTCCTCACAATTGCCGGAGCTGCTGCTTTGGGCTTGGCCTGTGCTTTAGCCTGTTGCTTGGCATTGGGTGCCGGAGCTGATGCTTTGGGGTTCGCTGGTTCAGCGTGCTTGTATTTGCACTGATCCCCTTTTGTGCACTTTCCTTCTCTCCATGCGTAGCAAACTCCGTCCCTCTTTGGTGAAGGTGTTCTTGCTCCTTTGCCTTCACCCTTGCCCTTTCCTTTGTTGTTGTCCAATTTGTGCTTGTGTTTGGGGTTATGGGAATATGGACAATCTTTCCCTTTGAGACATCCTCCTTCTTTCGTGTAGTGGAAGACGCACGGCCATTCCTTCTTCTGCTCTGGGCTCATGCTTTTTCCTTTTCCTTTTCCTTTGCCCTTCTTATCGTGGTCTTTCGCTTTCGCCTTGGGCAGCACAGGTGCTGCCGTGTTTCCGTCGTCTTCTTTCCCGGAATTTCCTCCTTTTCCCTTTGCCTTTTTCTTTTCTGCCGGTGCAGCATTCTTGTTGCCGCTCAGCAGGTTCTTGACTGACTTCTCCTTCATGTCGTAGACGTAGTCCTCACGATCAGTCCGAAGTTGTCGATCAATCAATCCCAAAAGGAAACGGTAGGTCTTCTCAGGGTGCATCCGGTAACCGCGCATAGGTACTGAGACCAAATTCCAGCTTTCTGCTTCCTTTGATCTTGTGATACAGTATATCCCGGAGCGTGATCTCCCTGGGTGTATCCTCCTTCCTCAGGTTGAGCAAGATGTCATACCATTTGTTGCGGAACACGGACATGTTTTTGTCCCCTGGGTATTCCAGTCTGATCAGATGTTCAATGGTGAACGTCATGTCCGACCGATCGCTTGATCTGAAAGATTGTAAAATGATGGCAACGATCTCCCTTCCCTTGATCAATCTGTTCTCTCTTTGGCGTCGTTCGGAGTGCAGTTGGATATCATGTACCACGTCTTTCGCATCATCAGGCGCACTCCTGAGCATTGTCTGGAGCGAAAGTGCCAGTTTGATATCCATCATCGCAAATCGTTCTCCTCCCGAATCGGCTAGAAATTCAAGATCAGGATTCACCACGAAAGCACATCCCACCCATGACATCCATAATTCAATATCAGGGTCCGCTGAGGCGCTGGTGACGTTCATGGTGAGCGCCATCTTCCAGTTGTCCAGCTTCGTGATCTTCGGCCATGGAGGCACGTTGACCTTCTCGGCTTCCTTCCGTGATATCCTTGGTCGACCACTGTCATGATCTCTGCGATCTCTCGATCTTCTTCTTCGTGATGACCTTCTGTCACGACGGCGATCATCATCATCATCATCGGATGGTTCTTCTTCGTCGTCCTCGTCTCCATCGTCATCGTCGTCAAGTGGATCAGGTGGACTTGGCCCTCCTGTTGCAGCTGGGACAGGAACACGTCCTAGACCCCCCGCGTTTCCATCTGCATTGTGATAACCAGGCCAGGTGGACCGCCATCTCCATGACCACCACTACCTCCATTATTGCCGGTTGAACCAAATCTCATATTTGGAATAGATCCTACCGCTTCATGGAGTTGGTCGATATGAGCCTGTATCATTGGGTCTTGGTAAACAGGAAACATAACAGAACCCGGTCCAAGGCTGTAATCAATTGGCTTAAGAACATTGGGCGCCTGTACACTAGAACTAGATGCCGCCATTGTGGCCTGATAGAGCATTACCTGACCTTGTTGTTGAGGGCCATTTGGGGTATCACTCTTACGGGTCTTCGAATTGTGGCGTTTACTGGTCCTAACGGAGTCATCCCTCAGTAGAGCTCGTCCAAGATCTTTTGCATCCATCGCGATGGCGACTTGGGTGGCATTCTCGCTTTCGAGTTCTTTGTTCGTCTCCGCCAATTGGTACACAAAGCTCTCTTGGATCTTGAGTTCCCTTTGCGTCTCTTCGATTTCTTTGGACATTGCAGCGATCTGGTTGAGGTAATCGAGCCTTTTGTCTTGATACAGCGAGTTCGCGAGTCACGTCGACAAACTCTTGATCTCTCAGCGTGGCGCGATCATGTAATGCGTTTCCTTGATGAGCTCGATCTCTAGCAATTTTGATCTCCTCATTCCTCTTTGCGTCACGTTCCTGTACTGCACGTTGTCCGATCAAGTACATCTCGTCCCGTTCGCTCATGGCAATCCGTGCACAATGGGCTTCTTGTTCAGCGTGCCTGATAGCATCATTTGTTTCGCTCACCAATATATCTTGTGGCTCATCATCGATTGCCATGGTCGGTTGCGGTAGCAGTGCTGCCTCCAATCTCTCACGCAAACCACGTATAGTGTTCTCCTCATTCTGCGAATCTGTAACGATCTTCACCTGATATGAATTGATCATCGATTGATACCGGGCGATCTCGGAGGAAGTGCTTCTTCTTTCTTGTTCAGCCTTCTGCCTGTTGACCAATGAGCTTTCCTCCTCGCACCTGACTCGATGTTCAAGCAGATTCACAGTTGTGGCCATCTCCTGATGTCGCTTTTCGTACTCGATGACCTTGAGTCGGGCTTCTTCTTGATACTCTCCGTAGATCTTCACAAGGTGTTGTGCCTGATCTTCGGATAGCTTTGTCTTCCCACGTTGAATGTCGATGTGTTGGGCAGCTTCTTGAAGTTGCTCGTCGGATCTTTGAGGATGTGGGCTACTTGTTGTTCCGACATGCCTGCTCTCCGCTCCAGTTCCTGGATGCGCGTGACATTGCCTTGGTCGTCACGTTCATATGACTCCTGTAGCATAGCCAAATGTCGCTTAGCCTCCTCCACTTCCTGTCTGAGGGTCTTGTTTTCCTGAGTGACCTTAGACGGACTAGAGCCTGCAGGCGATTTAGATCGCCCTTTTTCCTTTCTCGCAGGACTCATAACGCCCTTCACGCTTCTTCTCGGTGTCGATAACGAAGCTGATGACGATCTTTTCTTTTCTCCGTCCTTGGACCACACGGCGTGACCAATTTCTTTCCAGGATGAATCGGATGAATGTGATAGGTCATGGCTAATACCAGAACTTGCACTTTGTTGTGTGTCCGGAGAGTCCGCAATCGCCGGCACTGCAAGCATACCTGTGGAACCACTGGAACTATCATTTCCGAATGTTGCAGTTCCCGGGCTTCCGGAACAATCCATTGTACGGCTGTAAAATATTCCAAAAGGTTGTGTTGTACCTCAGTTGCAATCCACCGCAGGGACCAATTTTGAACTTACGGCTGATAACCTGCCAGGAGGCGGATCAACCACGCAGTCAATTGACAGGGTAGTTGAGGTTCGACTCCCGTGGGGTGACCAATGCCCTCGACAGCAAGTCGTATAGTAGTGGTCGTGGTAAAAGGGGGTTGTAAGGTAAATGATCTGCGCTGTCTCACGACTCGATGCGACCGCGGAATACGAACCCTTTTGCTTTGCTTCACAGCAGTGTTTGGATGTTTGCCTCGATTCTATTATCAAGGTCTTGAGCCAAATGCATTCGCATGTACATGTCGGCTGCACTCAAAACACAATCTCCCCAAAAGGTTTGAGACCTTAAACAAAAGGAAATAACAGGGTGACCCTCAGAACCTGCCCTTAGGATGTTTTCGCCTTGCGGCTCGGAGATTCTTAGCACTTACTCTGTCCTTTTTGTTTAATGTTTCGGGCATCCCTTGATTCGGATTGGTTGGCACAAAACAGAAGAACCTTCTGCAAATAACTGGCTGAATGTGGCGAAGCGCGTGCCAAACGCAGTGGGCAGGCCTGAGATGGGATATGTTCAAACCCCATGTTTGCCATGTTTGCGTTTGGGCCATCTAACCGACGGACGCAACAGGTTGCTACTTTTGTTGGGTATCCAATGCGGAAAGTCTTACATGCATCCTTCTTCTAGGTTCTTAAACACATCTTAAGCATAAGGATTCCGTTGGGCAAGTAGCAGCCCTTCAACAAATCATGCTAGGAGACCAGGACCCCGGCCCGCCAACGATTGCGGATGGTGAGATTTCAAACATACTTTCACCAAACAGCGGTTTCAGAACAGTGACTCAAGGTGGAGCGGGGGGGGGGCATGGTCTTAACCAGGCCCGCCAGCCCGTTTCATGCGGATTCGTTTCGCCGCCGGGCCGCTCTTTGTCGTTGATCTTCAGATTCGTAATGTCCGCCGTCTCTTTCTGGCTCCGGACGCTCGTCTCCCAGGAGTTGGCCACCGCTTTTCCTAAGGAGCGGGTCAAACAAATCAAAAGAATACACCAGCATAGACACGAGATAATCATGTCCCCCTATTATTAAAGGTCTCCCGAATAATAAATACTTTTTTCGGAAGTCCCAAATCCGGGAATATTACTCTTAGAATAGCCAATACTAAACCAATTCTAAAGTAGGCATTTTCATGCCCGTACTCAAATCCAGCCCTACTAGGGGGACCCGGGAGTACGTTTCGTTTACTAAGGTCGTACTACAAAGTTGCGATGTTCGAGCCGGAGCTCCGGGAGCAGGTTTCCTTTACTACGGTCGTACTACAAAGTTAAAGGGCCTTTCAAACCAAAAGCTCGCAAAGAACAAGAGGTACCTCCAAAACCCGCCCTCCAGAACCAGGGGACCCCTAATAATAAAAAATGTGTTGCTGGCAGGTTTCTCCCGAAAGCATTGCGCAGGGTTCTTCCGGTAAAATCGCCAGCCTTATCACACAGCTAAACTTGCACGAGCCAACTTGCACCAGCCTTATCGCGCAGCCAAACTTACACGAGCCAACTTACACGAGCCAACTTGCACAGCCAACCTACACGAGCCAACTTGCACGAGCCAACTTGCTCGAGCCAACTTGCACAGCCAACTTACACGATCCAACTTGCACGAGCCAACTTGCACGAGCCAACTTGCACGAGCCAACTTGCCCGAGCCAACTTGCATGAGTCAACTTGCACGAGCCAACTTACACGAGCCAACTTGCACGAGAACAACTTGCACGAGATATCACACAGCCAAACTTGCACGAGACATTTGGACACGAAGGTAATTAGTTAGTCTCTTAAGGCGGCGCGGTGGGACCGAACCCACCCTGCGAAAATAACACCTTCTGCGAGGATTGGCGCGGTCCATGTCCAAAAACTGCGGACTTTTTACGACTTCTGATTTGCCCGCGCGACCCTCTGCGGGGATTGGCGTGGTCGATTTCTGACTTGCCCGCAGGACCCTCTGATGGGATTGGCGCGGTCGATGTGCAAAAACTGAGGACTGCTTACGATTTCTGAGGCGCGCGCGACCCTCTGCGGGGATCGTGGGTGTCAAAGCGCTCTCGCTGTGGCCCCGCGCGAATTCGTCTTAGTCTCGGCAAACCCTCTGCGGAGATCGTGCGCTCTCGCTGCTCACGAAATGGCCTGGGTTCGATTTCCCCTTGGTCCGCGGCAGCTCCGGCTCAAGAACTTGCTCGGAGAACTTGCTCACTCACTCACTCGCTCGCTCACTCGCTCGCTCACTGACTCGCACTCACTGACTCGCACTCACTCGCACTCACTCGCACTCACTCACGCTCACTCGCGCTCACTCACGCTCACTCACCCTCACTCACACTCACGCGCACTCACTCACACTCACTCACACTCAATCGCTCTAACTCGCTCTCACTCGCTCTCTCAGTGTCTCAGTCTCTTGCTCTCTCGCTCTCACTCAACTCACTCACACTCACTCACACTCGCTCACACTCACTCACACTCACTCACACTCACTCTTACTCACTCTCACTCATTCTCACTCACCCTCACGTTCTCTCTCTGTCTCTTTCTCTCTTTGATTGTTTCTGCCTTTCTCTCTTTCTCTCTTTCTGTCTTTCTCTCTTTGTCTGTTTCTCTGTTTTTCTCTTTCTCTCTTTCTCTGTTTCTCTCTCTCCTCACTCTCTCTCACTCGTTCTCAGTCGCCCTCGCTCTCACTCGCTCTCACTCTCTCTCTCTCACTCACAGTCTCTCACTCTCCCTCACTCTCACTCTCTCTCTCTCTCTCACTCACTCACACTCACTCACACTCACACACACACTCACACTCGCTCACACTCACTCTTACTCACTCTCACTCACTCTCACTCTCTCTCACTCTCACTTTCACTTACTCTCGCTCACTCTCATTCACTCTCACTCACCCTCACTCTTCCTCTCTCTCTTACACTCTCTCGCTCTCCCTCACTCTCACTCTCCCGCGCTCTCCCTCTCTCTCTCCCTCTCTCTCTCCCTCTCTCTCTCTCCCTCTCTCTCTCTCTCGACTCTCTCTCTCTCTCTCTCTCTGTCTCTCTCTCTCTCTCTCTCTCTCTCTCTCTCTCTCTCGCTCTCTCTCTCTCACTCACTCACTCATCCGACTCATCCACTCACTCGCTCTCTCTCTCTCTCTCTCTCTCACTCTCTCACTCTCGCTCCCTCTCTGTCACTTGCTCCCACTTGCTCTCACTGACACTCACTCACTCTCACTCACTCTCACTCACACTCACTCACTCTCACTCACTCTCACTCACTCTCACCCACTCTCACTCACTCTCATTCACTCTCAATCACTCGCACCTCTCAGTCACTCTCACTCATTCTCACTCTCTCCCACTCACTCTTATAGGACACTTCTGAGCAACACTTCTGAGCAACACTACTGTTCGACACTTCTGAGCAACATTTCTGATCGACACTTCTAGCGACACTTGCGCGCATCGACACTTCTGATCGACACATCGGAGCGACACTTCTGAGAGACACTTCTGAGCAACATGTCTAATAGACACTTCTGACCGACACTTCTGATCAACACTTCTGATCGACACTTCTGACCGACCTTACCCCACTTAATAACGGGAACCCTTCGCTACAAGTTCGGGAAAAATCTGCAGCTGCCGTTTGCCCATGAAAAGGGACGCAGACACACATGCATGAAACCAACGCTCACTTTCCATTATGCTTTCGGGCCACCCGTGGCTCTAGGTGTTTTTTTCTCTTTCTTTTCTTTTTTTTTCCTGGGGGTGTTTTATTATTAGACAAAAGGGATTAGCATGGGAGATTTCAACACCACCCTGACAAGCACCCTGGCGCGCCTTGACCAGCACCCAAAACAGCACCCTGACCAGCACCCACAACAGCATCCTAACTGTGTCACAAAACAGGCACTGCCAGCAACCACCGCAGCACCTTAAGCGCACCCCAAACAGCACCCTGACCAGCACCTGCAACACCAACCTGGACCGAACTCGCAAAATAGCTTGCCCCCTTTTTAGAAGTAAGAACCCTTCATAGCTTTCAGCTATCTAGGGAAAAATGCGCCCGCGCAGTCACCAGCATCACCAGCACCTCAAACAGAACGCACCCCAGCATGCCCCCTGGAACTCTGCAGCCATCTTGAAAAGCATGTTCCCGCACCGCCACCAGCGCCTCCAACAAGCACCCCGGCGCTAGCACCCTGCCGTCATCGACAAAATGCGCCCGCACCGTCACAAGCGCCTCAAACAGCACCCCAAGCAGCACCCCAAAACAGCACCCTCTAACCCTGCCGTCAATCTCGCAAAAATGCGCCCGCGCCATACCAAATGCGCCCGCACCGTCACCAGCACCTCAAACAGCACCAGCACCAGCACCCCAAACTGCATGCCCTCTAGCCCTGCCGTCAACCGTCACCAGCACCTCAAACAGCACCCCAAAGCAGCACCTGCACCAGCACCCCAAACTGCATGCCCCCTAGCACCCCGTCAATCTGCAAAAATGCGCCCGCGCCGTCACCAGCACCTCAAACAGCACCTGCGCCAGCAAAAAATCGGCAGCCCAGCAAATCACCAAAGGTGAGCCCGTTTGACTTCAGTAATTAGACCCTGCGCGACAAATGCCCATCCGAACAAACAGCCGCCGGGTCTCGGGGCAGGAAAGGTTTGGAGCAGTTGTTGGAGGCCACCGCTGGGGCCACTCTTGAAGACCTGGGACGAGGCGATCCGGCCAGATCAGAACCATGGGAAGGGCCTGGCAATTGCGTCGGGAGGGCTTTGCCGCACTTGGATTGTTTTTGCTTCGTATCCGGAAAACTTGTTGTTTTTGTTTTTTCTGTTGCTTTTGCGGTTTTTGCGACAGCAAAAGTTTGTTCTGCCCCGCCTGCTGAGTTGCACACCTGAAGTGGATGGATATCTCTTGACAAAAGCCGTTGTTCGAAGCGCGGCAAACCCCCCTCCGTTGACGCAACATGTCACTTTAGACTGGGGTCACTATTGTGACCATTTCTGGGGGGGGGGGTCGAAGTCAGAGCAATTGGGGCGGTTTCCCTTCAACCTACCACTTGAATGTTGACTTTCATACTGGTACAAGAATGGGGCCATTAGAAAAAGGTAATCCCTTGTAAGTACCAAGGGAATTTTGCAGTCTACCAAATTACCCTGGTGGAGTGGTCGTGTGTTTGCTGTCATGATGCCATGGTTTCTCACTCGAATGCTGCAAATAATATAAACATGATCCAAGTGATCAACACCCCAGTCCACACACGCGGAATGTCCGGGCTTAGTTTTGGCATTCTGTGTGGCCCTAACTGTGGAATGTACCCTCCTAGCCACTAACACGAAACCCACTGCAATGTCCCTTAGAAGGAAAGCAATATCTCTTCACGCCTCCTTCACAGCAGGCACTGGCTTCTCCACTGCCTCCTCTTGGCTGTCCTGCACAATCATTATTTTCTCCAAAGCCAACGACATGCTCGCCATGTACCACGGCGCCACAGTTCCTTGCACATTGCATGCAACAAACAACAGAGAGCCCAATCCACGCACAACTGAATCTGTCAGTCTCGTACAACTACACAGTGTGTCAGGTGTGGCTGCAAAGCAGTAACTTACGGACACCTTCAGAAATTCATCTCAGCAGCCTGCCAATTACTGGTCACGCCCTTAAACAAACAACTGCCTCCATCAAAAGTAATATCTCTTCACGCCTCCTTCACAGCAGGCACTGGCTTCTCGACTGCCTCCTCTTGGCTGTCCTGCACAATCATTATTCGCGCCAAGGCCGACAACATGCTCGCCATGTACCATGACGCCACAGTTCCTTGCACATTGCATGCAACAAACAACAGAGAGCCCAATCCACGCACAACTGAATCTGTCAGTCTCGTACAACCACACAGTGTGTCAGGTGTGGTTGCAAAGCAGCAACTTACGGACACCTTCAGAAATTCATCTCAACAGCCTGCCAATCACTGGTCACGCCCTTAAACAAACAACTGCCTCCATCAAAAGTAATATCTCTTCCCGCCTCCTTCAGAGCAGGCACTGGCTTCTCGACTGCCTCCTCTTGGCTGTCCTGCACAATCATTATTCGCGCCAAAGCCGACAACATGCTTGCCATGTACCCTGACGCCACAGTTCCTTGCACATTGCATGCGACAAACAACAGAGAGCCCAATCCACGCGCAACTGAATCTGTCAGTCTCGTACAACTACACAGTGTGTCAGGTGTGGCTGCAAAGCAGCAACTTACGGACACCTTCAGAAATTAATCTCAGCAGCCTGCCAATTACTGGTCACGCCCTTAAACAAACAACTGCCTCCATCAAAAGTAATATCTCTTCCCGCCTCCTTCACAGCAGGCACTGGCTTCTCGACTGCCTCCTCTTGGCTGTCCTGCACAATCATTATTCGCGCCAAAGCCGACAACATGCTCGCCATGTACCATGACGCCACAGTTCCTTGCACATTGCATGCAACAAACAACAGAGAGCCCAATCCACGCACAACTGAATCTGTCAGTCTCGTACAACTACACAGTGTGTCAGGTGTGGTTGCAAAGCAGCAACTTATGGACACCTTCAGAAATTCCTCTCAACAGCCTGCCAATCACTGGTCACGCCCTTAAACAAACAACTGCCTCCATCAAAAGTAATATCTCTTCACGCCTCCTTCACAGCAGGCACTGGCTTCTCGACTGCCTCCTCTTGGCTGTCCTGCACAATCATTATTCGCGCCAAAGCCAACGACATGCTCGCCATGTACCACGGCGTCACAGTTCCTTGCACATGGCATGAAACAAACAACAAAGAGACCAATCCGCGCACAACCAAGTCTGTCAGTCTCGTACATCTACAGAGTGTCAGGTGTGGATGCAAAGCAGCAACTTCCGGACACCTTCAGAAATTCATCACTTTCTGTTACAGCTGGAAAAACATGAGCGGATGAGCACAAGCCAAGATCCGCAAACCCAGAGCTGACCCACGATAGCAAGGAGATGGCAGAAACGAGCACGTCAAGAAAACTGGCTTCAGCTGCTTCGTCAACTTTATCCATCTTCGTCCGCTGCATCGCCCTGCCTTTGGCTCTGGTGTGGGCGCTGCCGCTTCCTGGCCATGCCACCGAAAGACGATTCTCGCACTTTCCGCTACATCTCCCTGCGGCGGCTGCACCGGCACAATCTGCGCTTGGCAAATGCCACAGCCCAAACAGCTCAAAGTGAAGTATATGGGTGTGTCATTTTTTAGGGGACCCACCAAAATTGTGGTTTTCCTTTTGGTTTCCCTTTAAAACCAACCAAAAAGGGGTTCCCCAAAAAAAGACAGACCCATATGTGATAGGGGCCATGTTTCACATTGTTTTGCGGGCGGGTGAGTTTCAAACGCGCAAGCGCTGCGAGAAAAAATCCGGCCGGGTAAATCCCAGTTTTTGAGCGGAAGTGCCGGACACAGAAAAAACCAATTTCGCATTCTCTGTAATGGGAACCCCGTAGTAATAAACCCTGGTTGATTAATAGGGGGGGCTCCCTCTACAGCTGTTTTTGTTAATAGGGAATCCTCTAGAGAGATGTCGTTTTAGCCATAAACCCTGCAGAAGCAGCTTGCAACCTGGGACCAAGGTTTTGGGATGATTGATGGCTTTCCACTCACTTTCAAGCTTGATTGCCTTTATTTAATCCGTTGAGTTGCCAAACCTACTTGTTTTTTGGTCGGCTGGTTTCTTCATGGTTTTAGCCTAGGGCCGAAAAGTTTACTTTCTAGCCAGTCAACTCAGCAGGTCATTCTCGCCTTTATTTGGTCATTTTGCCATACATCGCCAGAAGCATGCTTAAAACCGAACAAGGCAAGCAAGCAAAACCGACGGCGCGGGACGCTTCCCTCAGATACGGAAACGTTCTGATTTCACAGACCGCAGAGACTTTCTGATCTGGGGCAACCCCAGATCAATAAACCTATCCTACGGGGGGGGTGCCCCTCCAACAGTGGTAACCAGGGACGTCCCTCACTTGCCCAGGCAATGTGTGAAGCAACCGCTTGAATTCAAAATCTGCAAACGGTAGCTGGCTAGAGCCCTTCAACTGCACCAAACTCCTCCGTACAGGGCGAAAGCCATACTCCCAACCTCGCTTTTTTTTAGTGGGCCCAGGCGATGTTTACAAAAAGGAAACAAACCAAGGGAACCTTTACCTCAAAATAATTCCCACCCCCCAACCACTGCCGGTTTGGAATATGGGGCATGACATCTTTGGGGGTTATACAGGGTGTGCCGTGGTGAAAACTTCGTGTGTGGGTCATGTCGCGTTTCCGCCAGGAACCCTTGCACTTGATTTCTAAAAAGAGTTTGAAGATGATCTCTACCAAGCCCATGTGAAGGCGCCCTTCGACCATGCATATCCCTAGCTCCAGCCTTAAGCGTGCTATGGGAAACCCCACTCCACCTCCAAATGGGACTGTCTTACTTCCATAGGGGAGGGGCTGAGGGGAGTGGAACCAACTTGAGTGTTCAAGCTACTCAGTAAGCAGGTTATATTATAATATTGGTTACTGGGGCAACCGGGGTTTGTGCTGTTGTGATAATAACTTAACTAAGCACCTTTAACACCCAAGTGTGAGGTGCTTAAGCCCTAAGAGTCTAAGGGTTTTCTAGGAAACCCCACGGAACCTCCAAATAAAACTTTCTTACAAGAGGTACGGGCTACGGATCCTATGAGACCTGCTCGAATCGGTCTTGGGAAACCTACCCCACCTACAGGCCTATGCAATGGTTATTGGGGTATGTACCCTGTACTCATGTATAACCACTAATTCCCCAGCTGAAACCTTGGGGTCGAAATCGGCCCAGATGAGCTCGTGGGGCATTCCAGGAAGCTTCCTTTAAGGAGATTCGCCACGAACAAAAAGTTGGACTTGCCGATCCACTCGTGAAATGGGGTAAAGCCGGTAAAGCATAATTGCGGGAGATGCGAATGAAATAAATGAAATCAAGGGCAAGACCAAAGAAACTGGCCATGAGCATATCAACATCACATGTCCGCATATATAAGATTACTGAGTATCAAATATAAGATTAAGTTCTCACCCAGCCTGCTGACGGAGTCTGCGCTTCGCCTCTGGGTCGCTGCGCCGAACTTGCGACGCCGACGGATGAGACTCTCACAACTGATTTGTTTGATGCTCTAGGTCGGTGTCCTTTCAACTTATGCAGAAAGGGTAGAATTTCTTTAATATTGGAATTAAATGGAAAAATATGTCTAAATAAAATATATACCTATACGGCCTATACGTGATCTCTAAAACTAGATGCCATATAATATACAACAAAGCTAGGAAACAACTAGCAAATATAAGAGTTGGGAAATAGAATTGTACTGAAGATACACAAAGGGCAAATACTGCAAAACGCTGACCAGGTTTCTTGTGTGTCCCATAACAGCATCGCTCCAAAGGATAAATTCTCTAAAACTGGCCCGAGGAGCTGATGTTGAAACTACCCAATACAGGAAGTCAAGTTATCTCCCGGATTAATCAACCTGTAGGCACCTAGGTAGTGCAAAAGTGATCCGGATACCACTGGAGATCTGGGCTGATTTGGCGGAGCATGGTGATCCCTGCCCTCATTCCAAGTCGGCAACCAAACATAGCAAATTCCGAAACGCACAACCGAATCATATTCACATCTCACCAATTACTCAGCAAATGAGGAGGGATGCATTGCCTCCCAAACAAGAAGCCCAATACTGTTTAGAAGGAGACGATGTCCGCGCGCGCGCCCTTTCCCTTATTTAAACACGTTTAGACACCCGAGGTTGCATCAAAAATAGATTCTTTAGGCCCCAAAAATAGCGCTCCTTTTGGTTCCCTTCAAAACCACCCCAGGGGTGTCCACGGCGCCGGCCTTTCTGACGAGAAGCACGTTTTCAGCCTCGGCCGTCCAACTCCCCGACGGAAACCATCCACCCAAAGAGGAGCAACGGTAGATGGGGGTGGATGGGGCTGGGCGGCGTGGATATGGGTGGATGGGGAATGGGTTCAACAGGTCACTGCGGCGTGAGCTGAAACTCTCGAAGCTCCCAAGTCTGAAAATGTGTGTGTGTGTGTGTGTCTGAATAGGGAACCCATTCCAATTGGATCCCCTTTTCAATCTCCCTCAAAAGTGCACCGAGCCTCACAAAAACACAAACGAGCCACGCCAAAACAGCCATGGAGCACCCGCTTTGTTTTCTCTGTGGTGTCCGAATCCCTATGTTGACACATACCGTGTGGCCCATGTTCACGTTAAGAACAAGAAGGAAGCACTTGACCAGGAATATGAACGACGCTGGTTCGATAGGCAGGCATTGAACGGTCTCCCTCCGGTTCATGCTCAAAACTCGCAAGGTGATTCCAAGAACAAGCACGTTTGGTTGGGATACTGTTTTGCTCTCCTGTCTTTCCGAATGGCCGGCTCGGCTCGCGCGACCAAGGTGGCAATGTTTAGATGTCAACAGACACTATGATTTGTTGTAATCAGGTAAGCGAACCATATAAGCAATCTTGTGAGTTAAGCTTCTCACATTGTTTGGTATTCGGGTCACATGGCGTTTGGGTCACATGGGGCAGCTTCACATGAATCCTAGCTGGCCAAGAGAACCGTAGGATTCAGGCCAAGGCGAGTGAAACGCCAACATGTGAAACACGAAGCAGCTCGGTTTGTCAGTGCCTTCATAATATGGGCGTGTCTTTTTTCAAGGGGACCCCCCAAAAAATGGTTGCTTCCTGTTGGTTCCCTTTTAAACTGCCAAAAAAGGAGTGCCTTCAAAAAAAGACGAGCCACCCGTGTGTTCGATTCGGCGAAAGCCGAAAGCTGTCTGAGGGCCCCAGCTACCCATGCCGGCAACGGCGCCCCGCCATAAGCCTCCTGAGTGCCATGCGAAGGTCCACTTAGCCCTTGAGTCTGGCACCCTTCGGGCCACCTCACCAATGGACCCTTTTTCTGGCAACTTTGTGGGCTTTGGGGTTCCCAGGTCAACCCTGAACCAACCAGAAACTCGTTTGCGAAGGAACCTGTGAGGGTGTCCAGTGTCCATTCTTTTCTGTGTAAAACTTAGAATAACTCACACGCATTCTCGATTGCCCCGCCGGCAACTCCCGCTCATTTACCAGTCAGTTGGCGCCTTTGCTCACCCGTCTCGAAAAACACGGCATGAAAATTCATTTACGCTGCAGGGATTGCAACTTGTTCCCACCGAGATTTATTCCTCGAGCTGTTATCGAAAGCACGTTCTACAAAGATAGTGCGCGTTCCATGTTCTGCGAGAAAGCATCTACCCACTTTGCAATCACAAGTATAGCCCTTCTTGTTTAATTGGACCCTGGCACGTTCTTTTCATGACTCCAAGGTTTAGTGGGTTAACTGAATGGTACCAAAAAATGTGTCTCAAATCAGGAAGTCAACTTGCTGGTTCTCAGGGAAACTGCGGAAGCTGCCAAAAAGTTGGGATTTGGGTGTCTCTGTTGTTTTTACGGGACCCCCCCCCCCCCCCCGGTTTCCATTTGGTTTCTTTTGGAAACCAACCAAAAAGGGGCCACACCTTTGAAACGACCACGCGACAAAGCCGGGGCCCTCGGGCCCGGTACAAAAGGTCCAGTTTGGCCAGCGTCATGTCCTGGGAATGCATCAGTCTCCCTGCCATGGCGGGATCAAAAATGAGTACCCAAACTGGAACCCTGGTAAATGGAAACATGGACTAAACCTGCCGCTAATCCAGGCTATGAAGGTTTGGAGATGTTCCTTGGTCTTGACTCACGACGCGTACGTCCTTCAGCATAGTTTTCCTCTCAATGATGGCTTGCTCGAGATCCTCCAGCTCCTGGCTTGCCCCTTCAAAGCTGAATGCAAACGCGCCCGTACTCAGCGAGGCTGCAAGCAATGACCAACTCCTTCGTCTCAGCGGGGCTCAAACCAGGGAATGAGCTATGAAGTATCTGTTTTCCTTCGGCTTCTGTGCCCCAACCATGTACTCTACGGGGTGCCGACCCCACCTAAATGGGTGAAAATTAAGCCACCAGGTCGATCAGAAAGTGGGGAAACAAACTCTAGTTTGCCACTAAAATTTGGTCTTCCAAAAAAGAAGAAAGTCCAAGAACTTTGGAAGAAAGAAAGAAAGAAAGAAAGAAAGAAAGAAAGAAAGAAAGAAAGAAAGGGGAGCTGTGATTTGATCCTTCAGATCACAAACGCCAAATGTTTTTTGCAAAACCGCCGGGCGAGGACGATCGCCAAATTGTCCACAGAATCACGGGGCTTGGGGAAAGCTACCCTCACGAAGGTGGCGCTTGATAGGTGGTCCCTCCCAGGTACCCTCTCATAGGTGCTATCATTTACTGGGCCTTTTTCTTGGAGTAAAGGAGACACACATTGTTGGAAATATTTGGAAAACACCAATTGGGCGTGTCTTAAAGTAGGGACCCCCATTTAAACACACCCAACAGAAGAGTGCGAAGCCATGTGCGATTCACTTCAACCCCTGGCCTCAACACTTGATCCAGCGGACGCGCTTGAGGATCAAGCTGAGGCCCGGCGACAGGAACTGAACTGAAGTATGCACAAACAACATTGTCGGCTCGAAGCGAAGCGAAGTTCGTACGACTCCGATCGAGCGGAACCCCAAACATCATACCGGTTTCAGGGCATCCCATTATCAACCCAATTGAACCTGAGCAAATCCGAAGTCGACAAAGAACCTCGAGAAGCGGACTCGAAAAGACCACACCGTTTTTTCCCCGTGGCGAAACATTGATTGTCCATCATGTTTCACAGAAAACGGCCCATCTGAAAGAAGGGCTAGATTTTCAGCCTCAGCCATGCATCTCTCCTTGCGAATCTCACCCGGAAGTTCAAACATAGAATCCCAAGGCCCATGATGTGTAGAGGAATCCCCTAGGGCACCTCCTTGTCGGGCCTGATTATCTGATTTGCGGGGATGACATTTGGCAGGCGAGTCATGGCAGGCGTCCTGCAAATGAGTTGGATCTTGGCACGCGTGGGCGTTTCAGCCAATGACCGGTGCGGATGTCCCAGCATAACTCGCACACAGGAGCAAAGCAAGCTGCATTGCACATCTTCCCCTCGGCGATGCAGCCTGCCAGATCTTGATCTGGGCAAACTACTATATTTCCCGAATTGGAAATATCTTGCCGGTTCTCAGAAGGGAATGAGGGAATGACCCCCATAAACCATCCCCTATAGTTTCCTTTAAGACTTTAAGGGAATCCCCTTCCGGCTCATTCCGAAAACCCGGAAGGTCATTCCCTACCTATCGCGCCAGCAAGATAAGGGTATATCAAGAACTTGCATGGGTCAGCTCGCGTTGCCCCTCGTTGATGCTGCGTAAAATGTCTTATCGAAGTTTTTCTGTCTTCAATGCGAATGATCAAAGGCTCCAGCCCAAATATATGAATGCAGTCGGCGAAGGAACACAAACGTCTGCAAAAGGCGCACCATCCGTTGCTGTTGACTTGTATGACGTTTCTCAAAAGCCTTGAGTTTCTATGCAATGATCTTGAACGGTTTTGCTCCTGTGCCACCTGCAAAGAGCCCCTGCTCTAGCAGGCAAATCTGAATTCTAGACCCAAGCCTTTCACCGGCTTGTAACCGGAGCTCCACTCGCATGCGAGAGCCCCTGTCAAAATCCTTGATATATATATATATGGGTATGTCTCAAAATGCGGGACCCCTAAAAGTTTCGGTTTTGTTTTTGTGGTTTCCTTGTAGAACCTACCCTCAACGGACCCCAACAAACCCAAAGGTAATTTCAGGTCGATTCGCTTGGCCCACAAAACGTTTTGACCACATACCCAAAAGCATCCGAAATCCGGGACCACAAAAAAACCATCCCCAACAATCGCTTGCAGCAGGTTGGCATAAATGAAAAGGCGTGCATGTTCTGCTTTATATGAGCTCGAGAGCCTGTCCTGAGTCCTACTGATTGCCCCATCATGTAAAACCGATAGGGGCGCCCAAAACAGATTACCTGGTGTTGTGTTGTCCGTTGCACACGTCACCCAAGGCTAACCATCCAGTACCTAGCTACTCTGCTCAGAGGTAGGTCAAATGCGCCGGTCAAAACTTCGAATCGGGCGGTTTGGTCATAGTGCCATGATACCCGTGGGAACCCCTACGGTTGTTTCTCTCATGGAGGTCCTGAGCAATACGGGATAGCTGGAGTTTAAGCTCTTCTTGCTTCTGAGACTGCTCGTTTAGGGCAGCAGACATCTGGTTACTGAGCTGTCTCATGTCGGTAGCTGGAACCAGATGCTGGATGTACGTCTCGACGTTACCTCGAATCGTCCGCTCTTTCCCGAGGGTTCCCTCCATTTCAACGACGCTTCGAGAGTTGGCCTCGACTTCACCGTTGATCCTCCGAATCTCAGCTTCAAGTGCCCCAATCTCAGAAAACCTGAGAAGATGGACCTTGATATTCTCAAGGGATTCGGCTTGCTCGCGAAGCTCTGCGGCCGAGATGATGACGGAGTTTGAGCTCTCGTCATAGACCTTGAAGCGATCATTGATCCGCCCAATCCACTCGTTGATATCACGGAACTTGGCCTCGTGCTTCGAGAGAGTCCCGGCAACGGTGGAAAACGACGTCTCAACCTTTTTCTCAAAGTTGTCGATGCGGTTGTTCATCCTCTTGATCTCGCCGACGCAGACGTTGCCGTCCTCTCTGCACGACCGGACCTCGGTCCTGCAGCCCTGGATCTCAGCCTTGCACCCTCGGATCTTGTTGTGGCCTTTGAATTTCAGAAGCACTTGGATGAGGAGTATCAGACGATGTAGCAGGTGCGGGGCAACTATCTGCACCACCTGCGCCCTCATTTCTATCCGGCGTCCCTGGAAGAACGCGGGCACCATAGCATCCGTGAGAGGCGGATTCCCATGAATTGCCCCGTTTCCGGGGACGAGGCGGACCGCTTGCCGGCGATTCCCTGAGAGTCATGATGAGAGGATCCAGCGGAATGAATGGGAACATCAACGAGGTCGTGATGAGCGGGAGGGCGTGATCGCAGGCTAGAGCAGCCTCTCGGGCTGGAGCTTGGAGCTCCTCTTAGTAGCCCGAGAGTCAGTGCCGGCGTGTCCCGGCGGGAGGTCATGAGATGATGATCCACACTGTTGGACTGGTCGTGACCAGCTTTATTGAGATCAAGTCGTTGAGCGACATCATGAACATAGGGCTTCGGCGACAAGATCTTGAACGACTTGGTGGGAGCGAAGTTGTACGTTGCTCCGGTGTAATCTCAGCTTCATCAATCGCATCAAGAATTCCAGGAATGGTCTCATCATCCTCGTTGCCCCTTCTAGGTGGCTGGTGGAACGGGATGTTGAGGAGGTTGAAAGGAGTAGGTCCATTCCCAGATGAATCCTGTTTGGATCCATCACTGTACCTCAAGGTCGACCACGACTGGGGCGGACTCTTTTTGAGTCCGGCGTCCAGCGAAAGACCAGCGTGAGTCCTCGATGATGCGGCAGGTGGATGTTGAGATCAATGGAATTGAGCCAGCGTTGTAGCGGCTCGCATCCTGTTCTTGAGTACCTGAGGATGGATCGGATGGATTTGAGCCAGCGTTGTAGCGGCTCGCATCCTCTTCTCGGGTACCTGAAAGCGGTCGCGGTGGATTTGCGCCAGTGTAGCGGCTCGCACGCATCCTGATCATGAGTACCTGACAGGTAGGATGATACTGCGTCCGGGATGAAGTCCAAATCAGCCGGGCTGTGATGATCATCATTGATGATGGCTGCAAATGAACCTGAAGCAGAAGGACGGCAAGCCGCCTGCGGCCTGTCCTCAATCGCCCGATCGCCCGATTCGAGCTGGCCCGGGCCTGCAACATGAGAAAGGGAAAATTCCTCAATGGGGTCACCCTCAGAACGAGATGGTCGGGAAGGTTGGGATCTCCAATCAGCATCAAAAAGGGAATATCAAAGTTCCCAACCGAGAAGCGATTCCGATTCGATCGAAATCAGCTGGAGTGGACTGTGCCCCACCTTCAATGCAAGAAACAGATCAGCGGCTTCTGGATGTACTGCCGGACGAGCAACCTGGTCCTCCAGTTGAAAGGCCGTGAAGGGAAGGGTAGGCGAAACCGAAGGGAGCTCCTGGGGTCTGTCCTTGAACCGCCGGGATAGGGGCCGCTTCCTCATCAAATACGACCTGAGAGAGGATCCAGTCGTCCGTGACGACCCCGGGACCACAGCCGTCCGGGGGCATTTAGCGCGGCATTGCCGCGGAGGACTTGGCCTCGTCATCCACAAAGCCGGGCCCACGGTGCGAGGCTCCCGGAGCAGCCATTGGTCCTGCTCGAGGGTGTAGAGGAGCAGGTAGCGGGTCACAGCCCGCAACCGGGTCACCAGCCGCAGCTTCTGGCTGTTTTCGGCTGATAACCGGTTTTGGGCGGAAAGGATGTTGCGCAGGGAATCAAAAGGGTTCACGTAATCCACGAAGAACCCAAAGAAGCCGGAATCACGACTCAGCGAACTGAAGCCGGTGACCAGGTTGAAGGACGTGACAGATGATGTTTGGGGAGGTTGGCAAGCAGGTTGAAGAAGTGAGAGTTTAAATTCCAAGCCCAGGAAAGTTCAGCACGGCGTCCCGCCCACCCCCTACCACCAGCAGGTCCCTGCTCCGTGAACCTTTTCACAAAGAAGGATCCCGCTGCCGCGGTATGGCGAACGCACGAACACCCTAAACTACCTGACGGGAAGTATTAAACTTGAGTCATACGGCCATACGGCACGTATGCTTGGTGATAAAACAATACGTGAACTAAACACAATTTTGGTCAAGCATAGAGGGTATTTTGAATACCGGGCTTATGGGTTCAAACTGTTGCGACGGCTTGAAAGCCAATCACGGCACATTTGTTGCACAAGAGCTTTCAGCTTGTGGGCCCAACAGTATGGACAATGACTGTGTTGAGAGCCAATAACGGGAAGCTATTCTTGATGTGTAGCTTTTCCTGAAGATTATCCTGGACCCAACTCAGGCCGGAGCTCTGACTGGCAACAGCCAAGCGTACCCAGTGATTCCCGTGCGTTTTGCCACTAAAGTAGGTAATCCTTCGATTCATTGTCAACTCTTGGTTTTTATATTGGGGGGTTTTGTTGGTTCCCTAGAAAACCAGGGAAATGGAATCACTGGGGTAGCTAACCCAGTGCTTCCTACAACTATACTAGGTAAGGGGAAACCAGCATGTAAAACCTGGAGGTAAGGAACCCTGCCCAGGTTCCGCAAGTATTTTTCAGCCTGCCCGGGCAAAACACAAGTTTCTTTGGGAGGTTCTGTCTGGATTTGTGAAACTCCTTCCGGAAGTTGAACCATGCGCTTCTTCAACAGCCAATTTGGCGTGGGTCCCACTCCAGTAGCGGACCTTCTCACCAATGTTGCATCCTGGGCGATGTCCGAAAAGGGCGTGGACATGCCGGCAAAACACCCATGAACATACCTGGACCCTCAAACTACCCATAAAAAAAGAATTCGCCCCATAATTTTCGGGCAATAACCCATTTCTAACGGACTTTTCAGGGTCCAGGTAGGTCCTTTTGGGAAAATCGATGGACCTAAGAGGGAACTGCGACCCTACGTGACCCTAGTATCGCTGCATCACGCACGCAACAAGTAAATCGGTGGCCGGGAAAGCTAAACATATCAAACCTCGTGCAATCGCCTTGAGAAGAAATGCAATTCATCCTTCTACTGTTTCCTTGAAAGGCATTTCAATTTATGAGACCCCCTGCAATCATCTTAGGAAGTGCAAATTATATCAAATTATCGTTGTTTAACCTAAGGAACGTCAATATCGCCCATTTACGTTGCTTCTTGCGGGCCCCCCAATTCTGTCGCTGGGCCAGGGCCCGGAAGTCGAGTCGTCGAGCCTAAGACGGCATGCATCAATACCCGTATCACTGCCCCGCAAGTGGATACTTGTCCGGTCTGGATTGATCCGAAGCTTACACTATGCCCCAAATAATGATCCGAAAAACAAAAACGATGGGAACTGGCCCCATGATTTTGCCATGATCAAAGTCACCCCAAGTCATAGGTTAAAGGGAAACAACCCCATTGTCTGACTTTGATAACCCCCAGAAACAGCTCCAAATAATGACCGATGGGAAGAGGTGTTGTGGGCTTGGCGCTTGCCAGGACTGATTTCTGATCCCAGGGCCAGGACAGCAACCCGAGAGTCCGCTCGAGCTCCTGGACAACCCGCTGGAGCTCCTGGGCAACATCTAGCTCGGAATTCGGACCATTTTGGGGGTGGAAGCCCCTGTCAAATGACGCAAACCTAGCGGCGACAGGGAACCATGTTTTGTGGCAATTGTTCTGGGAGAACTCACCAAATAACAAGAGCAAAAATAGCACTGAAGAGCTGGGCAACGAGTGAAAAGGACGGTTCTGTCACGCCTGTTCATCACAAAGAGACTGTCCCCTACCCATTTACGCTTGGCATCACATGCCGCAGAACATCGATCGCGACACTATGCATCTCGCTGTGCGTCTCACTGCGCAGCTCTCGCTCAGCTGGTCGTTCTTCTGGCGCAAAGTCTCTAGAGCCGAAGCCTGAAGGTCTACCTCGGTGGCTTTGATAGGTCGGGTAGGTTACTTCAACCCTACATCTCCATTTGCTTGAGACCCCCTGGACAAAAATTGGAAGATGTGTCAAGTAGGGATAGGTTCCCTTTAAAGCCAACAAAGGAAATAGAACATGTTCTTGAGCAAACGGAAGCTTGACCAGACTTAGACCCTCTCTCTCTCTCTCTCTCGCAGCTGCGGACGATCCGTGCGCCTGTCTCAGCCGGGGCGTTGCCCAGCGAAGGAATCCTGCATCCGGTTCCTGCCATGCCTTGTGCAAGTGCAAGTCCCTGGCATGGTCCACAAAGGCCTCGGCTTTGGTGATATTCTTCGGGAAATCCGTGCCAGTGGCCTGTTGTGAAATTGGCCACTGACATCTGGGAAGCTTATTGGCCGTAAGACGTGCGTCAAGGCTGGCCAAGTTTGCGCACAGCAAGCCAGTAGCTTCCCGGGCCGCCTGCCCAAACTCTTGCTGCCACACAATGCGGAAAAAGGTGGACGGGAGCTTCTGCCACCAGCGAATCTGCGGCACGTGCCATGAGCTGGCATGTCGTGGATTGCTAGGCTGCGCAGGGTGCGCGTGTATCATTGCACCTCCTGAAAGGACAACAGCAAGAGACACAAGCGTGGAGTGGAAGAAGAGTTTGTTGGCTACACAAAGCTGCGCTTCCTCGTGCTCACGCAAGTTACGACGGCCAAACAGCTGGTCCGCTGTTCGCAAGGGCCTACACAAACCGGGCTGGGCAACTTGCTGACGGTCGGACAGCCAAGTTTTGACGGGCGGTCCTGTCTTGACAGCCAGAAACGCCCGGCAAGGGCTTTGCTGATTAGGTCCTCAATGATGCGCGGCTGGCGCAGGTCACATTGCTCCTCTGACCGGACGATGTCACTGTCAATGACACATACGTCAAAAGCTTCAAGGTGCGTGGCAACGGCAATTTGGGCGGCTAGGTCACCTTCGCAAGCCCTACCTGCAAAAAGGTGAAGCACATAGAAGGTTGGCCGGAGCAACAAGTGGCCTAGACGAGGCCAGGCTGCTGGTTCGGTGGCTGGTTGGAAGGAAACGCTTGCGCGTTCATCTTCGCTCTGCATTTGTGCTGCACGCTGCGCGAAAACTATCCAAGACGGTTGGCTACTGCTACTGCCGCTGTGCCGGGCTGCTGCGCCACTCGCGTGGGCTGGCAAGGCGACCTCCGGCCTTGGCTGCGACGGGCGTTGCACATGGGCTGGTAAAGCAGAAGCTGCATCCTGGAGTTCCTTAGAAGCAACAGTTATGGCATCAAAGTCTTCCCAGTAATCAAAGAAGTTTTCTTGCGCGCGAAAGAGCTCCACCAGGGTGCACTGCAGCTTGGGCGGAAGACTGGCTACGCCTTGCGAAGGCATTCCGAGCGCTGACCAAAAAGCCTGCGCGGAGTAATCGCTACCAAGGTACCACTGCTCGAGAGCAGACAACCAAGCAGCAAGCTGGTCAGCCTCGGGATGTGCTGCAGGGTGCCACAAACGGAACAGTAGGCGAAATCGATGGAAATTCCTGATTCGGAGGGACCACAACCTCGTCTAGAGCGGCGCAAGCAACTGGCACATCGCAATGCTCATTTGAGGCGTGCGCCGGCGGCAAGGCAACTGGCGGCTGCAGGGCTGGCGGTCCTGGAGATGTGAGGAGCACGGCGTACCGCCCCAGGCAATCGCTTTCAACTCTTTCCTCCAGCGTCGGCAGCTGGGGACCTTGCAGCTTTGTGCCCGGAACGCGCTTGTGTCCCTTAAGCCAGCTTGGCTCCGCGATGCGTGTGATCGCGTCAAGCGGCTCAGGTATCAGGTTTGCCTGAGCCCACGTCAAACAGCCTCGCTTCCGAGATACGCCGGACGTGTAGTGGGCTTGCAAGCGCTTGGTGTGGTAAAACTGGGCGACACAAACAGGGCACTGAGTGGTGGCACAAAAGGCAAGATTGGCTGCCCTGGCGCCATGCTTGCGGGCTTGGTGCACAGCCAGCTGCCGGCGCTCGTCAAACGCGGCTACGCATTCGCGGCTACGCATTTGCTGGTAAGGTAAAATGATGCAAGCCCAAAAAGGCAAAAACTTTAAAAGGTACTTACGGTAAGCCTTTGGTCCGGCAATGATGATACCGTGGATAGACCAAATCTACTTCGCATTTGGTGGGGTGGTTTCTACCAGGAGCTTCGCAAAAACTTGCTGCTTCTGTAAGTAGCCCTGTGGATCCCAGTTACCTGCATAGTAGGTCCTTATAGCGTTTAAAGTGTGTGTTTTGGTTACCTACTAGTTACAAAGACATGGTATCACTGGATGTTCGACTGATGGACCAAAACCATGCTTTTTGCACAAGTTGAAGTTAGTGATTCACAAAACCCATGACTAAAACTAAACTCAAAGCCGGAAACTTTAAAAACAAATGGTGAGATCAGGTCGATTCGCCCCGATTCGGGGGCCTGCGTCGGTAGGGGAATGAGTTGCATTCAGACCTTTTCAACTGGCGGCTTCCTGGGATGTGGTTCATTCCCCAAACCCATCGAAACGATTACGGGGAAACTGCCAATCGAAACGGGGCGGCTCCGTCGGCGGTTGTTTTTGTTGTTGTTTTTTTGTTTGGGGGGGGGGGGGGGGGGGCGGACCCCCTTCTATGCCTGGGAAAACCAACGGGAAACAACCCATTTTGTGTTTCAGACCTTGCGGCAATCCCGAATCTCCCACAAGAAAACAAATGACCGGGGGGTCCCATGCTTTTTCCTCTCAGACGCCCAGTGGTCATGGGGAAAAAAGGGCATCCCTTTTTGGTTGGTTGAGTTTGAAGAGGAAGCCAAAAGAAGGAAAAAGGGGAGCCACTGGGCAACTGTGGATTGGATGTTCTTGGGGTCAGCTTGCCTCTAACTGGTTTGGAGCGCGGTTGTTTGGAGGTTAGGCATGGGAAACCCCATTCCTCTGCGAGAACCAGCAAGTCACATCCCCAAACCACCAGTCCAAACCACTAATTGGAGGGGGGGGGGAACCTTGGGATTTGATGTTCTTGGGGTAGGCTGAATTGAAGAATTAAAACAACGAACAGCTCAAACTGATTGCCGCCAGGCAAGGGCAGTGTTCCTCAAAGATCTTAGCCTCGAGGAAATTATGGTCAGGTTTCGAAAGCCCCATTCATAAAACAACTCGGCCATGTGGCTATATGGAAAAAGTCAAGAGTAATGTTGACCCCGGATTAATAAACCGCTTGTTGATTCATAAGGGGGGGTGTCCCCTTTTAGTGGGGGGTTCCTGACTTTTGGAGGGAACACCATCTAATAATGGGACGGGTTTATTAATCCTGGCCCATTCTGTGAGGTAAGGCCAGGAGCGCGCTGTTCCACCATGCTGATCCGGCTCTCCGTGTCGCTCTCCTGAGCCCGGAACTGGGTCGACCAGTTCCGGAACTGGGGTGATCAACCTTTTGTCGGTTCAATGGAAAACCAATTTGGGAGTGTATTTTTTAGGATTTGGACCCAAGTTGTGGGCGGTGGTATGGAGTAGCAGCAAGCTGCTCGGACAACGTAAGCCCTAGCCGGGCCGGGACTGGTCAAGCCGTCCCGTGGAATCCTCAAAACCGTCCGGTGGACCCAAATTGCGGTTGTCCTTTTGGCTCCCCTGTAAAGGCTAGATAAAAAGAAAGGGGTTACCCCCAACAAAAGTCACACCCATTTGTTTCCAAAAGGAGTGTGCCAAACTGGGCTGTCCAAAATGGAGGGACTAATCCTAATCCAGCATAGGAAAATGACTGGAAAGGCCCTCCCTTAAGTAATCCAAAGCAAGGACTAAGGATTGCCTTTAAGCAACCCAGACACGAACCTTCTGCAAATCCGCCGACATTGCTCGGCGTGTCGGACACCTAAGAGAGGATAGAGGATAACCCCCCCCCTAACAGCAAGAAGGACCTTACCCACAACCTCATCTCTTACTACCCTCCCCGCGCCACACCAGCATATAATCAAACCACTCGCCAAAATCTATATAAAATGCTTCAAGTTATTCATTTTAAAGAATAACTTAAACCATTTCAATCAACCTCGCAACATTTATTGATATGTTTTTCGCTTGATACATGGTCGCACCAAGCATAATAAATTTCTTTCTTCTTACATTTCAAGCATCTAAACCACAACACGCCATTTACAATTTCTTTACTATCCGGTCGTTCCAATTTTCCACCATTCAAACTTTTCTGTAAAAAATATTGATGGTTTCCAGATTTCTCGTGTTGAGACTTCTTACCTTTTTTAACTTCATAATCGCACAATTCGCAATAATGAACTTTTTGCCGGTATTCTTGTATTTTTGCCTTTCCTTTCTCGCTCTCTCTCCATTTCTTTTTTCTTTCCTTAATTTCATCAATATTATCTTCTTCATATTTTTGTCTGTATTCTTTCACCTTCTCAGGATTATTCAATTTCCATTGTTTTTTATTTTCATCATTCTTAATCTTATTTTGTTCTCGGCAGTAATTACAAAGTTTCATCCTATTCTTAAACAAATCAGAAGAATAAGTATTACCACATTGCTTACAAGTTTTCATTTCTTCACTCATCCTCTACCATAGTAAGGCGTCATTCCTTTAAATGGTTTTAGACATAATCCATAACGAGCTTAGGGGCAAGGCCCTCATAGAAAAAAACCACCAAACAACAAACCAAACAAAAAACCAAACAACAAACCATACAATAGACAATTACAAAACACTCACCAACAACTCACAGATTAACTCACTCGGGATTGTATGTATTCAATTATATTATTTAAGGATAATATAATTAAACAGTAAAGATTACCAAAATCGGATTTTTTCACCAGCAAAAACTTTACAACTGGAAATCGCTTATATATTCAAATTCTTCTCTCACCTCATCACCTTCACTTTCGGTTTCACTGTCTTCATTGAAGAAAACTTCATTTAATTTGTCAGCAATTTCCATACCAAAACAATGACCGTAAAGTATATTATGTCTCTTATCCTCATTCATGTCAATATAATGTAAAATGTCAATCAACTCTTTGAACAAGTCATTAAACTCATCATAAGCATCTTCCATACTTTCGCCGTTTGTATCCCAAAAATAATTCATGGTGTTTCTTTTCCAGTGCTTCCATTGTTTTTCATGGTTGATGTTCCAATATAAAATTACCAAAACTTTGTAATGTATGTTGCTTAAATGCTGTAATTTCGGTATGCTTTGTAAGTCTTCAATCGTTGGTAAATCATCACCGTTTAAATCAATATAATATGCTAATTTGATGCTATATAAATCAAAGTTGTCATTGTCATATCCATATCGTGTTCGGTGTTTTATTATACATATCATTTCTTCACATTTCTTACATCTGATATTATTTGAAATGTTCTGTATAATATCAATAGGTAATGATTTTGATGACATTTTTAATCTGGCATTTGTTTTAGCACAATCTTTACAAAAATAAACATCGCAACATTTACACACATAATTACTTAATACTTGTTGTTTTGCTGTTTCTAAATCATCAAAGGTTTCAATTTTATACATATCATTCTCACTTTCTGTATCGCTCATCATCTTACTAATATATATAGGTATTATTTCTTTAAACCTTTTTAGTCTAAAACTATAATTTCAACATTTCAAAGCAGGTAATTTCCTAGTAAGTTCATCCATATTTTAAAATATAAATTTTAAAATATAAATTTTAGAAAATATAGTTTTACAAAATTTTCAAAAAATATTATTCCAACAATTATGATAAATTATTTTACAATAAATTTTATCACAAATTTTGTAGAAATATTATGGGCAAGGTCTGGTTCATTCGTTTTTATAATTATTCAAATCTTCTTTCAAACATTTTATATTTATACAATATGTTAAAATCAACTGCATCTAATTTTTCTTTGCTACAAATCCATTTGTTGCCATTCTTTTTTATTTCGATTAACCATTCAAATTCTCTAAAGCTTAAATACCAGCAATTGGATGTCTTTTGACTGTATGAATAGTTTCCAGCATTTCTAATTATTCGTTGGTTGTTGGTTTGTTCCATATATTTTATCATTGCATGTTTTAATGGGATGTAATTTTTCGTTTCAATATTGTTTATCATTTTATGATGTTCTGTAACTTCCTTTTCTAACCGTTTTTCAGTTACAAATCCGTAACTGTCATCTTCTTCTTCTGTTTTATTATCATTATCACTCAAAAACTCATCAATTATTTTAGTTTCCTGTTGTTCACTACAAGTTAAGAATTCATTGATAATTTCTTCCTGTTCAACCTCTGTAAATATAACCATATTTATCACTAATATATATAGGCATTATTTCTTTAAACCTTTTTAGTCTAAAGCTATAATTTCAACATTTCATGTCGCAATAGAGGTTTAGGAAAATCACTAACAGAATAATATTTCTGCCCTAACTTTGTTTCTGTTTTAGTTACGGTGTGAATAGTTTTCAAATAATGACTGGTTCTCTCTTTCTCGCTAATCGCTTTCTTTCTCATTATCTTGACTTTGTCCCCTACATCTAAATCAGGATACACACGGGTTTTTCTGGCATTCATTGATATATTCAGTTTCACCTCAAACTCATTCTTTTTCTTCCTTGCTTCTAATGGTGTCATTTTCGTAACGGAACTTACTAATTTATTATTATATGTCAATAATATTTCTAAATTGTAATCTATCCATTGTATATTGTTTTTACCTTTCTTTTCATCCGCATCAACTCTTTTAAAAAGCATATCTTTGTAGGTTCTAATAAATCTTTCTCCAAAAGCAGGGTGGCCTCTCGTGGTGTGTAATTCAATTTTTTCCTCATCAAGATAATCTGTAATGGTAGAACTAAACAAACTGCCTTCTTCGTCGCTGTATATCATTTTGGGTTTTCCGCCCATTTTCTTAATGCCTTCCATTATTCCTGCTAATACGTCTGGCGGTTGCTTACTTGCAATAGGTATTACAGTAGCATATTTACTAAATATATCAATTAATATTAATCCAATTCTAAACTTTTGATTTTCCAAATCATTTTTTGAAATAAAGAACAAATCTAACTGAAATTCCCAGAAGGCATGAGGAGCAACAAAACTATTCTGCCCTCGCATTTTCCTTTTTTCCTCAACATTCTTTTTAAAGAACTCATTAACATCGTCCGCAGTAATAGTTTTATCTTTCTGTCTGGCATCTTTCAAAGTTATTCCTTTACTACCGTATCCGCTTTTGTCATAGTAAATATCACTAATTATTTTTTGTTTATCCATATAATAAATTAAGATTTATTATATTGATAATATTATTTATAATTTAAATTCAGGATAATAAGTTAATTGATGATTATTAAATTGTGTATATATCTTACGTCTGTCATGCATCAGTTCAAAAATAATATTGATATCTCTCACGGTATTTTTCACATTAAACTTGTTGCTTTCAATATATGATTTAATGTCTCCTTTTAAATCAGACCCGTCTCTCCTACGATGCAACAACATCCATAATATGTGGTTAATCATTTCATACTTTTTCTTACCGATTTTGAGAAATATTCTAACATAACTATAACGTGGTCTTTCATACACAGTTAAAAATATTATAATGTCATCTTCAACATTTGTTTTAAGAAACCTTTTATGGTTCAAATGACATTTGATTAATTCTTGATAAAACCTCCAATTTTTACAAATTTTACAATTTTGTTCGTCCACAGCATAATCAATAATATTATTAACTATTCCATTAGGTAAATTCATTTTGTATAATTCCATATGTTCTTTTTTGAAGTGGCAACAGTCATAGCATTTCTTATTGATATAATTATTTACTTCTTGTTCCTTCATTACTCTCTACTATATATAGGTATTATTTCTTTAAACCTTTTTTAGTCTAAAACTAAGATTTTAATATAAAAAATATTAAAATCTTAATGAGCTGAAACATTACAATATACACAGAATGAAGTTGAATTATCTATATGGTGAGCGATTGAATTATCAAGGCGCTGACAAGTAAAATTGCTACATAATTTACCTTTCTTCGTTTCAAAGTTAAATGAAGTATTACACTTTTGGCATCTGGCGCGAAACTGTGATAAACACCATTCAGCACTAATGTATTCTTCCTCATTAATTTCTCTTTGAGCGCGACGGTCTTGTATCTTATAATTTTCTACTTTGTTTTTAAAATATCTCATTATCATATTTTTATCCATTTGCTTATCAAAGTCTGGATTACAATAAAATTTAACTTTCCTAAAATCAACACAGCGAGTCAATGCCGTCCATATCCACTCTCTGCTGGTTATGGGTAAGTCCCATTCGTGAATAGTTATGCTTTCCTTTACGCTTGACCCCTGGCTTGAATGACAAGTAGCACAGTAAGG